CCAGGTGCTGTCCAATACTCTTACAGCTTTACTCCTACAGCCAGTCTAATAAAAGGTAAGAACTATCACTGTTTCTCAGACAAGGGACAACCAGTGTCTAAATGATTTCTCAAGGTCATAAGCATACAAGTGGTGGAGCTGCACTCAATCACTGACATAATGTACAATGCAAAGGTTTTTATTTTCATTTATTTATTTTTTATCCTCACCCGAGGACATTTTTTGATATTTTGTTCATAAAGTGGGAGGGAGGGAGAGAGAGAAACATCGACGTGAAAGGGACACATCGAGTGGTCACCACCCGCACGACCCAATCAGGCCCGGGGACAAAATGCAACCAAGGTACATGACCTTAGTGGGAACCGAACCCAGGTCTCTCTGGACCGCAGGCCGACGCTCTAACCGCTGAGCCAAACCGGCCAGGGCAATGCAAAGGTTTTTAATGTTTTTGGTGCCATGAACTCTGCAGAAGGGTCTAGTGATCCCTTTCTCAGAACATGTTTAAATGCATTATGAAATTGCACAGGCTCACAAAAATAACCAGTTATATGTAGCTGAGGATTTATTCATTTTGAAGTCGTGGGTAAAAAATATTTTGTACTATCTGCAACCATAATGTAGTATAAGATGACCTGTGATTTTGATTGCTGACAAAGTCACAGATGCTGCCAATTCTCCTGAGGTTGCTGCCTCCATGCCTAACTGAAGCAAATGCTACATTTCAATTGGAGATTAGTAAAAATACAGATACAATTCTCCTCTGTTGGAGTACTAGAACTCCTTGAATGCTCCATTTTCTGTGGACCCAGGGTTAAAAACCTCTGCCACAATGTCTCTTATGAGGTGACACCCAGTTTTCACCAGGGAATCTGGGGGAAGCTGCCTCAATTCCAGCAATTTCGAGGAGTCGTGGGTTTACACTGAGGTGCGCAAGCCAGCGTTAAATGGAAGCGATCCAAGGTAGTGGTGGGGATCTGGGACACCAGAGTAGTCTGGGGGAAGGCGTAGGGAAGTGGGGAAGGGGTTGAACACCAGCCGCTGGGACACAGGCGCGGTTGCAATAGTAATTTGGGGCAAGATCTTGACCTGCTATCTGGGAGTGGGGGTGGATTCGGATGACACGGGGGAGGGGGAGAGGAGGGTCCACACACTAGGGAGCCAGCCTGCGGCCCAGGCAAGCCGCGGGGAGCCACGCCTGCGGCCCGATGACTGAGGGCACCGCAGTCCAAACCACTGAGTCCAATTCCTGGCCGCTGGCTAAGCAGCTTAGTATCTCTGAGCCTCAGATGCCTCACTGTCAAAAGGGACAACCACAGGCTGAGGGGAGGACTAAATGAATTAATATAAGTCACCTGGTATATTGCCTGGCATTAAGGAAGAATAAAATCATTGTTAGCTTTGACTACTAACACAAGACCCCAGGGCCCCCGGGAGGCCGAACGCCGCCGGCCGGAAACCTCACCTCGTTCTCGGGGAAGCTAGGGTCCGGCTCCTCAGCCCCCAGGATGGGATCCCGGGTTCCGGAACCCTCCACACTCACCTAAAGACGCCCCTGAAGCGGCTCGCAGCTCAATGTGACCCTCAGCAAAGACGCCTCGGTCGGACCGGAAGCGGAATTAAGACAGACCGGAAGCCGGGCAGGGTATAAGTGAGTCTTCCACCCAGCTAGAGCGCCCTCGGGGAGGCGGTCCCTGAGGCCAGTAAGGCTACGCCCATTCAGGAGAACTCCAATCTTCTATTGGGCTAAATAGCCGTTCATCATCACTCCGGCCCAATCAAGAGCTTGCGTAGCATTAGAGGGGTTTCGAGCTGGGACTTGGGACACCAACTTGTTACAGGTTCTCATCGCTTCCTTAGCTTTGCCTGGAGAAAGAAATTTTGTCTGGATCCTGGTGCTGGCTCGAGACTGGGCCTGGGGAAATACCCAAGCGGAAGTACTCTTATTCGTGCAAGTATTTATTGAATGCCAGGTACTTCTGTAAGGGTTGGGGATGCGTCGCTGGACGAAAGACCGCAATCCATACCCTCATTATGATTATTAGGAGGCCCATTGTTAGGGTATTGAAGAAGAACCAGCCTTTCTCCCAGGGTCATTTGTCAAGTGAAGAGGAATGCCCAGCCCTGGCCGGTTTGGCTCAGCGGTTGGAGCCTCGGCCTGCAAACCAGAGTCTCGGGTTCGGTTCCTGCAGGTACCAAAAAACAAAGAACAAACAAACAAAACAACAACAACAAAGAGGAATGCCCAGGTTCCACCTCTAAACCCCAGAAAGATTTGGGTGGCTGAGGACTCAGAAATAAGTCCTGCATCACGGAGAAGAGGGATTAAGAGTTAGCCTGGCTGGTGTGGCTCAGTGGTTGAGTGTTGACCCATGCACCAAGAGGTCACCGGTTCAATTCCCTGTCAGGGCACATGCCCAGGTTGTGGGCCAAATCCCCAGTGGGGGAATTGCAGGAGACGGCCAACGATGTTCTTCTCATTGATGTTTCTATCTCCCTCTCCCTTCTGCTCTAAAATCAATAAAGAAAAATTATTTAAAAAAAGAAAAGAGTTAAAGCTTTGGTTCTGTGAAGGATCTGGCAGAAATCAGTCCTTCTCGGAAAATGGCGACTCTGTTCACACCCCATAGCTGATCTATCAAGAAATTATGTTGACTATCTTTAAAAATATGCTCAGAATCTTCTGACCTCTGGTTTGAGCCACCAGTACCTCCAGCCTGGACTATTACAGTAGCCCACTGCCTGGCCTCCTTGCTTTCCTGCTGCCCTCCACAATCAGTCCACTCAGCCAGAGGAACCCTGCTAACACCTCAGTCAGATCACTTCACTTCCTTAGCCTGGAACCCCACCCTGGTGTCTGGTCTGACTTAATCTAAAGTGAAAGTCCTTACAAATGACCTACATAGTTGGGCCCCCGTTATACTCTTATCTCTGTAAAAACTGATTAAGGAAACCTTATTCAAAATGGAGCTGGGAAGCCTTGAAGGGAGAGCTCTCATGCACTGTACCATCTGTTGCAACATGCATAATGAAAAAGAAAGATAAGAATTAAGGCCTGGCTGGTTTTGCTCAGTGGTTAGATCGTTGGCCCATGGACCAAAGGGTTGTGCATTTAATTCCCAATCAAGGGCACATACCTGGGTTGCAGGTTCAATCCCTAGCCCCAGTAGTCTCCTATGGAAGGCAACTAATCTCTCTTTCTCTTTCGCCCCCTCCCTCCCCTCTATCTAAAAATCAATGGAAAAATATCCTCAGGTGAGGATTAACCCCCCTTCCCCCACAAAGAATTATTTTAACAAGGTCTGTTTTGCAACTTCCTGTCTTTAGTGATAATAAGAATGTTACTTTTCATCTGGTTCAAAGGAGGACATTTTTCACATGGGACTTTTATCTCCTGCTAAAAAAAAAAAAGATCCCCAACAACACACTAGCCACCGCTTGCAGCCAATGAGAAACCACTGCAACCTCAAACTCTTGTTGTCCTCCAATGGATTTTTGTTCTAAACAACCCTCCCTAAGTTCCTCCTAAAATCTAATAAAAACTGACCCTTATCTCTTTGGACTTGCCTATAGCTTGCTCCAGTTTGCCTGTCCTGAATTCAGTTCCTCTACTATTCCTGAATAAACTCATTTTTTTGGAGCTTGCCTCAGTTTACCTCTTTAAGTCAACATCTCCTACCCGTCTTCTCACTCTCACTGCTCCAGCCTGGGAGCTGGCCATCTCAAAGGTCCTTTAACATGTGGACTGGCTTTCTCCAAAGGGCCCTTTGCACTTGTTGTCCCCTTTGGCCTGAAATACTCTTCCCACAGATGGCTCCCTGCCTCACCTCCTTCAGTTTTTTGCTCAGATGCCACCTTCTCAGTGAGCCCTTCTCAGACCAAATATTTGAAGTTGCCATCTTGTCAGCTTCTAACTCCCTTCGCTACTTTATTTCTCCATAGCACTTACCTTCTCAGATACGATATCCTCCCTTTTATTGTTTACCTTCTTTTGTCTTCCTCAGTATAATAGACGATCATAAAGGAGCAAATTTTGTCTTATTCACAATTGTATCTCCAGCACTTAAAATAGCACTGGCAGCCCAGCGGTGTGGCTCAGTGGTTGAGCATTGACCCATGCACCAAGAGGTCGCCGGTTTGATTCCCGGTCAGGGCACATGTCCAGGTTGTGGGCCCGATCCCCATTGGGGGGCATACAGGAGGCAGCCAATTGATGTTCTCTCTCATTGATGTTTCTCTTCCTCTCCCTTCCTTTCTCTAACATCAATTTAAAAAAAAAAAGTTTTTTTTAAAGCACCTGTCACCTAGGAGGTGCTCTATGAATATTTGTTGAAGGAGTGAATTTCTTGTGTGAAAAAAGTGCCTATTGGGGACTGGATGAAGGAGCTGTGTGAAGGAGAACTGCTTTCATGCTCCTCTTGGTCTGTCCTCCAAAGCCTCCCATATACTGTGTTGAGTAGAGTGCCCAGGCCTTATTGGATCAGAGGCTTCTTACACATTCTGTGTCCATCAATATTGTGATTATTTGTGGAACTACCTCTTTACATGCCTTTATTCACTCCCTTCAATGAGATCTTCCTAAAGCCCAAATTCTTTCCCTGCTTAATCCCTCTATGATCTCAGGACAAAACCCAGGCTTCTTAGCATGGCCCCACAGAACCTTTGTGAACTGACCCAGGGTCCCCTCTTCAACCACAGTGATATTTTAGTTCATTGAACAGTGCTGTGAGATCTTCTACCTCTGCTCATGCTGTTTCTTCTGCCTGGAACCTTCTTTGCCTGATTTCTCGAATCAGCTGTTTTTTTCCTCCCGGAAACCTTTTCTGACCTCCTCTTCCCCTAAGGGTCTGTTTGGGTCATGGTGTGGCTTAGGATCACACAGGTGGGGAGAGGGTTGGGTGGGTGAGAGGGTACACACAGCCTCCCCAGCAGGGCTAGGAGTCTAGTCAGTTATCATTGAGAAGGATGCAGACAGCACACGAAGGAGGTTTGACTGGGTATTTTTATTGGATTGCGGCCCCCTGTTGGACGCCAGCGGGGTCCGTATAAGCTAGGCCCGGCACGCAGCCCCCGAAGCGGTACGTGTACTTGCGCCCACCGCTCTTGCGCACGATGTCTCGACGATAATAGTAACGCAGGCCTCGGCTCAGCTTCTCGTAATTCATTCCAGGCTTCCTCTTGCGCTCGCCCCACAGTCGCGCCACCTAGGGGGAAGGCCGGGCTGAGTCCGAGAAGGTGGGAGCCGGAAGGTTTAGCAATAGTGGGCGGGCGGGGTGCAGGGTGCGGAGTTCAGTGGGGTTGAGGTGAGGATGCAGCTGGGGCAGGGCAAAAGGCTAAGCAAAATGAATGGTCAGGCTAAGTTGAACAAGAGGAGACTGGGGCCCGACTCTCTGGGTCAGGGGAGCTGCCCCACCTCTTTGGGGTCACACAGCTGGAACTCGAGGCTGTTGCCAGTCCAGCGGATGCAGCTGCTACGCGCGGTGTCTTGGAGCAGCTCCAGGAGGAACTGCCACAGCTGAATGGGACCTGCAGGGTGGAGGCAGGTGAACACTCAGGTTTTCTGGCCCTGGTCCCTGTCATGTCGATGGCTCAGGAGTCCAGACTCCCTCACCCCACAGGTCCAAGGGTCCAGACGGATCCCCTTCTCGTCGGGGACCAGCGAGTCCGAATCCTTCCACATAAAGGACCTAACCTAAGAGTCGGCCTCGGGGACCCAGTCATCGGGCCCCCATCTCAGAGATTTAGGAGTTTGGCTGCCTCGGACACCTGGTCATCCAGACCCATGTCTTCCCTCTCACCTAGTTCAGGAGCCTAGGTCCTCTCCCTTTGCTCTCTAGGGATACAACCAGGGACTTTAAAAAAAATTTTTTTTAAATTGATTTTAGAGAGCGAGAGGAAGGGAGAGGGAGAAACATCTGTCCATGAGAGAGAACATCAATTGGCTGCCTCCTGCATGCCCCCCACTGGGGACTGGCCCACAACCTGGGCATGTGCCCTGACTGGGAACCGAACCTCTTAGTGCAGAGTCCACGCTCAACCACTGAGCCACACCAGCGGGGAGACAACCAGGGTCTTAATCCTCCGCTCCCTTAGGGCTCAGGAGTGAGAGCTACGGCGGCCTCCCCTCTCCAGTTTAGGTACTTAAGTCCGGCCCCCTCGCCATCCGTTTCCAGGGCCCCACCCCTTGGGCGCCTAGGCCCCGCCTCGATAGACTCGGTCATCGCTCCCTCCGGACCCAGTCTCGCGGACCTCTCACCTCGGTGGTTAGTTCTGGGGTAACGAGCCAGAGTTGCACGGTCCGACTGCTGCTTCGGTTCGGAGGAAGTGGTGAGATCTGAACGCTGGTACTCCTTGGAAGAGCTGGTGCAGTCCGTGTGCAGCCCCGAGTCCCAGGAGGTGGGGTAGTTCGAGGCCCCAGGCCCGCCCCAGGAAATGATCGAGTCGGCGCCCCACTCCGGGCAGAGGCCCTTGCTCCAGTGTTCGGCGCCGTCGGAGCCAGTAGGACGGTCCCAGCTGGTGGAGCTGGCTGGGGCTGGGGCGCAGGACCACGAGTTGGTCTCTCCCGTGGAGGCGGTGGTGTTCTGGTCGGCGACCCCTAAAGACCCAGCGAAGAGGGCGGGTCCCAGGGCCGGCGAGACTCGGCTCCAAGCATCCCAGTCGGTGCACCCCAGTTGTGCCCAGTCTCCTGACCACGGAGGAGCCTGAGAGGCATGCTCTGTGAGGAGGAACAGACCCCAAGTGAGGGGAGCCCAGGTGTCCCGCTCCCCGGCCCCCTTGGGAGTTCTAGAAGTTGAAGCCCTGGGCCCTGGCGCCGGAGGCCCCTGGCTCTGGGATCTGGGCCAGGCCACCTGGAGGACACAGGTGTCCACAGCCCTATCTCCGTTCTCCCTCAAACATCAGGGAGGCTAAACTTCAACCACGGTGGAAGACCCCAGACTCCCCCTGCTCTGCCTCTCCGCAGAAACTCACCCGTCCCCCGTGGAGTTTCTGGGTGCGGTGACTCGGAGCTCCAGTCCGGCCCTGGGAGTCCTGCGAGGCATAAAAATGTAGCTGAGTTTAGAGAAGGGTGTGAACAACCACTGGAGAACCACTAGTCTTTATTTGTCAGGCACCCAGAGTCATTATTCCGTCCTGCCTCTACTCACTCAGACCTGGGACTCTGGACCTCAACCCGCTCCTCCTTCAACCTCAGGAGTCCAAGCCGGCAGTCCTTCCCCCACTAAACCCCAGGAGTCCAGGCACACCCCCTTCCTCCCTCAGAACAAACCTGCCCCAGCACGCAGGGGTTCCAGCTCATAAACACCTTTCCAGCAGGTGTCCTCCGTCGGCATGTCCCCTTGGAGAGCCACTTCGGGGAAATAGAAGCCGAGCTCAGCTCCTTCTGCAGGCAATCAGGAGGTTAGGGCTGGTCAGGGTCCGTGGAGGCCCCCACACCTGGGCACCCCCTACACACACACACACACACACACACACACACACACACACACACGCTGTTTCAACCCCAGCAGCATACCCAGCCTTGACAGCCTGTTCCCCAGGGGCACTTCCTGTGGTGATGCTTCATCCCAGTTCCACAAATCCATGGATGCTCCTTGTGAATATTCTGGGTAGGGGGGAAAAAAACACTGGGTGAGCTGGTGACACTTAGGGACCCTGCAGTCTGGGCCCCAGCCCTTGCTTCCCTCAGATCCAGTGGTCCAGGCCTCTGCTCCCTTCTTCCCCAGGACTCTGGAGTCTTGGCCTCCAGTGCCTTTTTCTCTCAGACCACGAGTGGGGACCTCAGCTCTCCTTTTCCTAAGACCCAGGAGTCCAGGCCCCCAGACCTCCAGGCCCCAGTTCATGGCTCACCTCTGTCAGGTTCCTCTGCCCCCAGCTGGGGGTCTCAGCCCCATTTCATACCATGCGTCCCCTCCCCTAGGGGCCTGGGCGGGGGGGGAATTTTCCAAGACGTCAGAGCTGGGGGTCGAAGCTAGGGTCGAGTTGCAGGGGGCTGGGGCGGGGTTGAGCTACACCCCCCCTCACCCCTGACCCCAGGGGTGGCTGCCTGACTCCTGGTAGCTGGGGCTGTCCTGCTGTAGGGGTGGCTTGGACTTGGACAGGAACTTGGGGAGCAGCAGGCTGGGTGACAGGAGGTGCAGGGGATTTCTGGGGTGATGGGAGTAGGGCAAGGGGCTTGGTGGACAAGTTCTCTGTCTTGGGGACTTGATCCTGTGACATGGGTGGTGGTTGTGGGGAGGAGGGTCTGGGTACAGCTGGGCAGCTCCAGGCTTATCTGCAACAGGAAGGGGGATTTCCGGCCAGACCCTTGGTGTGCCTACGTCACAATTCACAGGGGGACTGAGGGGGATGGGGATGGGGGTGTGTGTTTCAACCAGACTTTGAGTTCTCTCCCTCCCAGGGCTTTGAGAACATTCTGGGGCTGCTCTGGAGGAACATCAATCATGATAACAATAGTATCAGCAAAATAAACAATAACAAGTTAATAGCTAACATTCACTGAGGGCTCATTGCATGCCACTAACAGTGCCATGGGCCTTCGTTTAATTTTATGAGCTAGGCACTAGCCTTATCTCCATTTTATGAAAGAGGAAATTGAGGCAGGCTTCCTCCCCCTTTTCTTCATCTCCAGAATCCGTGCCCTTGCATGCTATAATAGTTTGGGACAAATGGGACATTTGAGTGTAAACTGAGTATAAGATACAGAATTACTAATTTTCTAGATGTGATAATGGTATCATGATATGAAAGATGTCTCTGTGATGAAATGAACACTGAGATTTAGAGATGAAGTACTATGTCTGTAACTTGCTTCAAGTGATCCCCATGTTTTTGAGCCTCTCTCTCCTGCGCATCTCCAGTCCCACTGTGCTGCCTTACGGTTCTCACTTCTCTTCATCTCCCCCCCTCCTCCATTTTTGTCCATCTGTCTCAACCCATGATGGATCTCTCTCTCTCTGTCCTCAGAAGACTGAAATGCCCACTTTAAACCCTGCTTTCTGGCATCATTCTCCTTTCCATCTCCTTTGCCCCCACAGTTAGTGAGCAGAAGCAGGGCAGGAGTAGGGAGGACTAGTGATGTGGGGGTAGGGTTTGAGGGTCCCCAGGCTGGGTGGTCCAGCCCAGGTGGCTGGGGACTGAAGGGCACTTCCTGCTGGGGAAAGAGGCCCTCACCCTCTGACCAGACTGGAAAATGTGACATCAGAGGGGGCAGTAAAGGAGGATGGACAGCGGAAATTTGACACCTCTCCTGGGTGACTAGCTTCCGAGAGGCCCTGGCAGTTTCCCACCTCCCTCCTTCCCCTCTATCAATCCAGGGTTCTGATCACTATGCCCCTGGGAGACCCTTATCCCTCCCTCAGGCTGGATCCATGCAGTCTCCCTCCTCAGCTTCAGCCCTGCCCCAGCCTCTTTCCAGCCCTCTAGTCCACAGTAGTCTCAGGACTGGTTTCTCAAGTGCAGACCTATGGTGCCAGTTCCCTGCCTGAACTGTCTCAGCTGCTTGGGGCTGGCTGCTGCCTTCAGGGTGAAGTCTAAGCTCTTAGTCTAGTCCTGCACGGACACTTCTTCAGACAGGCACAGACAAGCTTGGAGCTGGGAAGAGATGAGGGTGGGAGGGAGAGGCCCAGAGACACAGAGAGAATTGATTCAGAGGGATTTGAATTGGTCCAGATGCAGAGAAAGAGACAGAGTGGCACTCACGGAGAAACATTCAAGGAGACCCCGCAGACAGACAGCAAGAGAAGTTGGTTGCGGTTTGGTAGCGTGAAGAAACTGGGCAAGTCTGAGAGATCTAGAGTGAGAACTACAGACTGGGAGAGAGAATGACACAGTCTCTGAAGTGGCCAGTTTCTTCAGGAAGCCCCAAACTCCCAGGTTACACTCCGAGCCACCCCATCCCAACCCCGACCACTGAGTCATCACTGACCGGCAGTGGGCCTATCTTCTGCCACTGGACCAGGAGCTGACTGTTTCAGTCACCAGTGTGCCTCCAGCACTGCAGGCCCTAGGTGTTTGCTGAGAGGCTAGAAGGCTGTGAGCTCCGGAAGGGCAGGGCCCAGAAGACTCCCTACCATGTGCTGAGAACACTGGCTGGTCAGGAGAGCGTGGGTCTGAGCCTTAGCTTGGCTTCAGCCCTGCCATGAGCCTCAGCTTCCTCTTCTGTGGAACAGGCTGCACTGTGTGCACTTAAGAGGTTTCCAGAAGGTGCCATGGGCACTCAGGAGGAACTGAAAAATCCCCGTCTGCATTTCTGTCTGGGTCAACTTTCAAGGCTCCCCACTATTCCCAGGTGGGGGGGATGCCAAGCTCTGCACCCCAAAGAGTGCTTCAAAGCCCAGCCAGGAATGGAAATGAACAAAAATTTATTGACACTGGTTTTGAGGAGAATGGGTGAGTGGACAGCGGAGGGTTTTCCAAAGAGAACTGCGGGGAGGAGCCAGCGCCCGGCTTGGTGGGAGCGGGTGCCCAGCCACAGACCCTATCTCAGGCCCAGCTTCTTCTTCTCTTTCTGCTTCTTGCGCACCACGTCCAGGTTCCGGTCCTTCCACATGCTCTTGCGCAGCTTGATGGGGCGCGAGCCCACGTACTTCCCTGCGGAGATGGAGGGTTCAAGGTCAGCTTTGGAGTCGGGTTTAGATGCCTGTCACACCCACTGTCCCTAGGAGAGGCCTCACCCACCATTCATCTCACGCATGGCGCGCACATAGTCGCTGGGGTCCTTAAAGCTAACGAAGCCGTAGCCCTTGGTTTTGCCTGTGCGCTTGTCGCGGATCACCTTAGCCTTAAGGAAGGATGGGAAGCGGCTGAAGGCGCGGGCCAAGATGTCATCGTTCACCTCATTGCCCAGATCTCCACAGAAGATCCGGAAGTCATCTGGGGTTGGGAGAGAGAGGTCAGAGGATGCAGATGCCTGACCCAGTGTCTGCCTTATTTAAAGAGCCCCACCTTCTCTGGAGGCACCCACCCCCAGCCATCCTCCCTCAGCATCTCCAGCAGTCTCTGCCCACGGTCCCCTTAGTAATAACAGCCAATACCTGTATGGTATTTATCCCGTATTAAGCTCTGTGCTAAGCACTCACGAGGTTTTAACACACCTGGCACTCCCAACAACCCTTTAACACTGAGGCACAGGGAGGTCAAGTCACCTGCCCAAAGTTACTCAACCAGGAAGTGGCAGAGCTGGGACAAGAACTCAGGCATCTGGCTCTAGAGCTCTTACTTTTAATGAACTGCACTCCTCTTCCTCACCCTACGGCCATCTTACCCATTCCCACAACGAAGCTCCTAATTCTGTCCTGCCTGAGTCCCTGAAACCTGAACACATCGCCCGATCCTTCTCCAAGGCTGACCTGAGAAGCCATTTCCGGGCATATCCCCTGGGCTGGGCCTGAGCCTCAGCTGAGCATACTACACCCAAAAAATCCTTTCCCCACAAAGCACACACTAGTATTATCTTCCCCACAAAGCACACACTAGTATTATCTCCCTGTTGGAGATGAGGGAAATGAGATTGGAAAGGCTAAGTGACTCGCCCAATGTGATAAAACTAGGGTCTACATCCTGTACTGGCCACATCTGGACCCATGATGCCACGGCCCTGGCCTGGGTGGTCGATGCTCCCAGGAGAAGAGGCAGAAATCATGGACTGGGATGGGAGGCAGGTACCTCTCCTCAGCTACAACTGGGGTTGCCCCATGGTTCTTGTGGTAATTAAGGACACTCTGAGGACAAGTTAGGCCAACTTAGGAGAAAATAATCTGACAAACTCAGAGGGTGAGACATTCTACAAGACAACTGGGCACTTCATATAACTATTATACACAAGATAAGGCAGTGGGAGGGAGACCATTATCATTAAAATATAATCTAGAGGCATAAAGCTGCATGTATCCTGATTTGGGGGGAAATGGCTCTAACAGATAGTTTAGGGGAGAACTGAGTAAATGTGAATATAAATGGAACATGAGATACCACAGAATTATTGTTAATTTTCTTAGATGTGTTAATGGTGTTATGACGTGAAAGAGAATGTTGCTTTTCTTAGATGAATACTGAGGTATTTAGGAGCAAAGTGATAATTTATGACTTGTTTCAAATGACTAAGCAACCCCACCCCGAAAACACACACACACACACACACACACACACACACACTCACAGATAAATATAGCAAAATATTAATTGCTAAATCTAGATGGTGGATATATGGCTGTTCACTGTGCAATTCAGTGTTTAACATTTTTCAAAAGAAGTTGGGAGAAAAAAGACTGTTCTTTTACCTTTAGCAAGCCAGGCCCCTCATGAATAAAACAGAGGCCAGAAGGTCCTAGGTGCCAATCACCTCCGCCAAGTTCTGTTCAGTGGCTGGGGAGCCACAGCCTAGTCCTCCATGAGCTGTGCTAACAACAGTGCCTGCCCTACAGAGAGGAGGCAGTTGTGGAGTTACCTGGTTCTCCTTCTGTGTTTCTGCCCCAAGGAACAGAGCCTGGCTTGCCTTTGGCTGAGCAATGCCTGACCTTGGACTTTGGCCCACCTACCTGCATCCCACTCCAGCAGGCTGGGGTCTTCCCAGCTGCTCCCAGCT